TTTAATTGAAATTAAAGATGGTTTTAACTTTATTATATTTTTGCTCTCGTTTGACAGTTAAAAGCAATTTAATCATATGAATTTTTGTTCACTTATTAAATAAACTATTGTTTAGATGTAATGATAGGGCATGCTTCCATATACACACTCTATGTGACATTTGATAAAGAACGAAAGGTCGGTGAGGTGTGGCACTGAGTGATAAATTAAAATAATAATAATAAAAAAAAGACTTTAACTTGGGTAAAGTAGGAATATATTAATTGATGAGAATAGCATTTTAGGTACGGTATTATGACTTCTAACTAGAGAAGGTGAAACTGAAATTAAATATAATTTGGCATTAAGTCAAATGAAATATTGATAGTCATCATATTACAGTATGAGTCGAAATTTGGCATAATTTAAATTTGCTTTACTTTTTAGATTAGTATTTTATTTTGAATTTGGATATATGCGTAATAGTAGAAGGTTATCCCGACTCCAACACCAACAGCCAAAACTTTCTAAATCATATTTTCAGGCCAAGCCAACTTATGTGTGGTGACTTGTTACAACATCGCCGGTGTCCGTGAACTTAAATTTCAGGCCACCCTGGCCCGACGCACTGTCGCGTTGAAAGAAGTTCTTTAAATATGCCGACTCAATTCCGGCATCGCGGTATCCATTAGAGAGTATCAGACGTGGCTTTCTATCTCGACGATGTAAGGTAGCTTTGGGCAGCAACGGACAACGTCGGGCCATGATTTCGTACCGACATTAGTTTGTGCGTCGGGGCACATAGTCCCGACAGTGTTTGTACGACGCAGGGCCAACGCGACCTTCGGCGCCAGGGAAGAAAGTTTCCAATGCAGTAGCTCAATTTGCCGGCGAACTTGTGCGTCGAAGTAGCTGTAATATCAAGTTGTGATCACTTTTAAATTTCCTTTGGCCACAACTTTGCAGCCATCGAAACAGAATAACTAAAAACAAAAAATGCAGTAAAACTAGAGCCATTACCAGCTATTAATTGTTGCACAAATCAATAAACAGAAAACGTAACCTCCTCATTTCCCTTGCCTTTTTAATTCGAAAGCATTCCAGTCCTCAGTCATTCAACGCCTCTCGTTGTCTCCAATTCTGCCCAACAATCATTTCCACCTTCCAACAAAAAATAATGAGTGAAATAAATTAATGTTGATTATTACATAAAAGAAGAAAAAAAAGAATATTCTAAAGAAATTCTTTCTGGTGTAATATTTGGTATTGTGAGTTGGAGATGGAATAGTGTTTTACATTAAAATTTGTACCAGTTTGGTGTAAAATTACACCAAATTGGTGCAATGGGTTGGAGATGGTTGTGAGGTGCCAAACATGTAGATATAGCTAGAAAAGACGGCTTAGTTGTAGATTTAGCGGTTGATTTGATGGCTGAACGAAAGAGCGAGCTCAAAGGTTTGGCTTTGGGAGGCGGCATTTGATATTTGATTGAGCCGAGTTTCTTTTCTTTTTTTGGGCAAAGGGAAGGGGTTTTGGGAGGGCTTTATCTGTTAGCTTCCTACATTTCCAAAAATTAGTTTCTAAAAATAAGTTTTTTCAAAATTAATACTTAACGGGTGTATATTAGAACCATAAACCCCTATTTTTAACTAAATTAATTTTAATTTTTTATTTCCTGTAATCACCTAATTAGCTCTTTAATCAACTCTTCACTCGTGTTTAGTGTATTTACTGTTTTGAAATGCACTAAAAAAAAACTCAAATTAATAACAAAATACGACTTGTGTTTTTACTCTATAGTTGGACTCATTCAAAAGGAAATCTTACCTGATTTATTTTCTTTTTAACTTTCTTCTTGCAAAAACTACTCAAAACGTCCTTTCTTTTATTACAACAAATTATAATCTGACTCTTTTTTTTCTATTGGATTTAATACATAAAATCTTTTTTTTCACTTCTTTTCAATTTTTGTCCCTCCACACCTCAAATATCAGTCCGTGGATAAATGATAGTATGAAGCCCACATTGATGGGCAATTGGGCACTGCGACTAGATTGAATAACATAGTCTTTTAAAGCTGAATGGGTTTTATTATTGTTAGAATCAAATAACTTAAATACAAAGTTTTAAAACCCAGCCCATGGTGAAACCCAACAAAGTGATTGGGTCCCGGGCTGACAGGTTGAACTGGTTTGACTCGTTGGTCAAACTAGTGACTGTCAGTATGTAGAAAAGTTTGAAATCTAGCAAAAACACTCCTGAAAAATTTATAAGTCCATACAAGTTTAAAATCATACAAAAACACTCCAAATTACACAACTGCATCGACAACTTGTTTTAATTAAATACAAATACTCAAACACACCAAATTTGAGTATTTGTATTTAATTTAATTTGATTATTATTTATAATAATAAATTTATAATAATGATATAATTTAAAAAATGATGAAAAATTAAAAATAGAACTTTATTCAATGCAAATATTAAACTATAATAACTCAAAATAAAAATTAAAACTAATTTAAAAATAATAACTCGATTATCATGTTGTGCGTGTATTATTATGCACAACATGATAATCGAAGATGAACGTAATATTGATGCATCAATTGAGAATCAGATGGAAGCGCCAACTCCCGAAGTTGAAATTGTCGTAGATGAGAATATCCGATTTCGAAATTTTTTTGCTCGACATAAACAAATCAAGAATACAGAGGCTCACCATGCTCTTCGAAATGCATTAATTGATCATTTGTGGGAAGAACATACTAATTCGGAAAATTAAATTACTATCAATATGGAATTTTACCTTTGTGTTGTTGTTGTTTTTTTTTTATTTTATTTTATCATTTTATATTAGATGTAATGTTTTTCTATATTAAATGTAATGTTTATTTGATTAAATAAATGCTTAATTTGATTAAATTAGTATAATTTTCAAAATAATTATTATTTAATAAAAATATCATTCCCAATATTTAATTAATATATACAAAAATAATCAGTGAAATAGATTAATTGTTGATTATTACAATAAAAGAAAAAAAAAAAGAATATTCTTAGTGTAATATTTGGTGTTGTGGGTTGGAGATAGAATACTATTTTGCACCAAAATTTGCACCAATTTGGTGCAATTTTGCACCAAATTGGTGTAATGGGCTAGAGATGGTCTAAGGGCATCTCCAACCCACCCCAAAATAGTGCAAACAACACCAAATTGGCGTGGGTTGGAGCAGCGCCACGCCATTTTGGTGTGGTGCTACAGTGCTGCGCCAAAGCACCCAATAATTTTTTTTTTCAATTTTGCTTTTTTTTGTCTTTTTTTTTTTTTAGTTTTGTTAAGTTAATTTGAGTATCAAATTTTACGTCAAAAACCACACCAAATTTAATTATTTGTATTTAATTTAATTTGATTATTATTTATAATAATAAATTCATAATAATGATATAATTTAAAAAATGATGAAAAATTAAAAATAGAACTTTATTCAATGCAAATATTAAACTACAATAACTTAAAATAAAAATTAACACCAAATTTGAGAATGTCCGATCTCGAAATTTTCTTGCTCGACATAAACAAATCAAGGATATAGAGGCTCATCATGCTCTTCGAAATGCATTAATTGATCATTTGTGGGAAGAACATACTAATTTGGAAAATTAAATTACTATCAATATGGAATTTTACCTTTGTGTTGTTGTTGTTTTTTTTTTTTTTTGTATCATTTTATATTAGATGTAATATTTTTCTATATTAAATGTAATGTTTATTTGATTAAATAAATGTTTAATTTTATTAAATTAGTATAATTTTCAGAATTATTATTATTTAATAAAAATATCATTCTCAATATTTAATTATTATATACAAAAAATAATGAGTGAAATAAATTAATTGTTGATTATTACAATAAAAGAAGAAAAAAAAGAATATTCTAAAGAATATTCTTTCTGGTGTAATATTTGGTATTGTGAGTTGGAGATGGAATAGTGTTTTACATTAAAATTTGTACCAGTTTGGTGTAAAATTACACCAAATTGGTGCAATGGGTTGGAGATGGTCTTGAGGTGAAACTGAAATTAAATATAATTTGGCATTAAGTCAAATGAAATATTGATGGTCATCATATTACAGTATGAGTCTAAATTTGGCATAATTTAAATTTGCTTTACTTTTTAGACTAGCATTTTATTTTGAATTTGGATATATGCGTAATAGTAATTTTATGGGAAAATTTAATATATTTTTTTAACAAAAGGTTATCTCGACTCCAACACCAACCCAAAACTTTCTAAATCATAGTTTCAGGCCAAGCCAACTTATGTGTGGTGACTTGTTACAACATCGCCTGTGTCCATGAACTTAAATTTCAGGCCACCCTGGCCCGACGCACTGTCGCATTGAAAGAAGTTCTTCAAATATGCCGACTCAATTCCGGCATCGGGGTATCCATTAGAGAGTATAAGACGTGGCTTTCTATCTCGACGATGTAAGGTAGCTTTGGGCAGCAACGGACAAAGTCGGGCCATGATTTCGTACCGACATTAGTTTGTGCGTCGGGGCACATAGTCCCGACAGTGTTTGTACGACGCAGGGCCAACGCGACCTTCGGCGCCAGGGAAGAAAGTTTCCAATGCAGTAGCTCAATTTCCCGGCGAATTTGTGCGTCGAAGTAGCTGTAATAACAAGTTGTGATCACTTTTAAATTTCCTTAGGCCACAACTTTGCAGCCATCGAAACAGAATAACTAAAAACAAAAAATGCACTAAAACTAGAGCCATTACCAGCTATTAATTGTTGCACAAATCAATAAACAGAAAACGTAACCTCCTCATTTCCCTTGCCTTTTTAATTCGAAAGCATTCCAGTCCTCAGTCATTCAACGCTTCTCATTGTCTCCAATTCTGCCCAACAATCATTTCCACCTTCCATTTTTTTTTTTAATTTTTTTTCTTTTTTACATATTTTTGCGTTTATGGGTATTTCACTAAGAGTTTCCATGGCCATAATCCTGGCATGGACTCCCGATGGCTTTCACAATCACCACTCTGGCGTGGTCAGCTCTCAGCTATGAGTCCGAGTTAAAATCATCTAGAGAATATCAAAATGTTCTTGCTGGTATCCGTTGGGGCACTGATTATTTCCTTAAAGCCAGCTCTAGAAGAAGTCAATTGTACGTGCATGTCGGAGAAACTGTGAAGGATCATGAATGTTGGGTGCGACCAGAAATTATGAATTCACCAAGAACCGTGTTAAAGACTGACCAACAGAACCCTGGAACTGAGATTGTAGCTGAAATTGCTGCCGCACTGGCTGCTTCTTCCTTTGTCTTTAGGACTGTTGACCGTCGCTATTCCCATCAACTCCTCAACAAAGCCAAGCTGGTATTATATCATCATACTCTGTCTTCATAATTTCTCCTCCAAGTTTAAATTTGCATTATGCTAAATTTTTTTCTTCTTTCTTGGCAGTTGTTTGAATTTGCTAATTCCCATAAAGGAACTTACGATGGAGAATGCCCCTTCTATTACTCTTATTCTGGCTATAATGTTGTTATACCTGAAAAAGTAGAACTGACGCAAAACCCAGTCAGCATAAAAAGTCAGAGCTTGGATAGGTCAGAAGCCAGTCAGAGGTAGCCACGTCACACAATGACATGAACGACACGCTCCTGTCAGGGTAGTGGGTGCGCGTCAGACCAGCCAGGAGCTAGAGTGATTCCACGTGTCTAATCCCTACACCAAATCGCGTAAATAGCTCTAAAAGGTGGGCAATAGAACATAAAAAAGGATTTGCATGGATAATCTCACCCACTCACAGATTTAGTAATCATAGCCTTAACCCATCGAACTATAAATTGAGAGCTCCTCTCTCATTTGGGGGATTAGCTAATCTCTCTAAAGAAAATAGCATTCTCTCTCTCGTGTAATCATTTGTAAGTCAGCTCGCTGAACGCGACCTGGCCACTATTATTAATACAAAATCAGTGGACGTAGGATTTGCTTCCTTGAGTATCCGAACCACTTTAAACACTGTTCTCCATTGCTTTTACTCTCACTCTCTCATCCACGTGCGTCTTTTAGGCCAGCTCAGCATTTCGCACGTGCGTTTGGTTGGTGTCAAAATCACGCATCAATTGTTTGGCGCTAGAAGGAGGGCCTGATTTAGTATTCGTCCTTCATCAGGAAAATCTCTAACTTACTGGTCCTACAACAGCAAATGGCTCACTGACTTGAACCTGAGCGAACCTGTTAGTAAATGATCCATATACGCAGTGGAAACAAAAAATTATAATACAAGGATCATTTACATGAGCCAAGATCAAGGGTATAATTTTACAATTTATATTAAAGTAAAATCTGCACAAAAGGTTAATCAAGAGTTTAGAATAACGTACGCACGTTTGGAGGCTCCTCCAAAATAGTCTTTGTACGTATTTGCTACTGACCCAAGCGTAGGATCGAACTTATGAAGTCCACACGAAGACAATCACAAAGAACCAAAGAGGGATTTGCCAGATCCTCTTTGGCTTTAGGATTAAAAGAAGAAAAATCAATGAAATTGATTTTTAGGCAAAATGAATCTGCCGTGGGAGAGTGTTTAAGGGGCTACTGTGTTTGTTCTTTTTCAAAGAAAATGAACTAATGAAATCTCTTTTCTTTTACAAATAATCATTTTCTTTTATAGTAAAACTTTAATGCCCTATTCCCATATGGAATAGCCTTGGTCTCCAACCCAAACACCTCATGTTACCAAACACTCCCAAATTAGATATTTTATTTATTTCATCATTATCTCAATTAAACTCAATTAATATATATTTAATCTATATATTAACATTTAACAATAATGATGATTTAATTAAATATATGCGAATACATATTTAAACATAATTTCACTTATTTAATTTTTCTAATAAATTAAATAAAGGCTATGACCTTAGCAAATTTAATTACACTGTGAAATTACGAAAATGCCCTTTTGCCTTAAAAAGACGAAAACGCCCTTCCTTCTTCTTGGATCTTAAATTATCTTCTATGTGTGTGACCCATAGGCTCCTCATCATACCAGCAGTGTATAGTATCGCGATTAACACCAACTAATCATCTCACTAATACACAGACCAAGATTGGCTCCTAGCAAAGCATCATGGCCACCTGGTAGATTCGGATTCAGCAAAGTAGCTACCTGTCAACGATATGGTTACCATACAATTCGATCCTTTCATCATTAGTTATCTCGACAAGACGAAGGCATAGAAATAGTGTCAACCTTCGGTTACTCTCGATATTATGTATTCAGTTTATGGACCAATGACATGTATTATAATCTGGATAGAGCAACAACTCAATCCTATTGTGGCCATAGTTTTAGTGTCATTGCCATATACTGAATTGCACCGTGAGATAACTTCTCCCATACCCAGGAGTGTTGAATCCTCTGTTTATCCACCATAGTCTTGATATACTCCTCGATGTAGCCAATCACCACCGTATTGACAGCTCTGAATAGAACCACTTTAGGCTAGTGTCAAACTGCACCAATCGATGCACAAGGCATTCCGGTGATCTCAAGTCTAAGGATCACATGCATCACCATTCATTAGAGGATTTATTCTATAGACACTAGGGTTACCATCCATATGGAATCCTTTGGTAGGTCAGTCCAGTGAACTTACTGCGGTATATCTGCCTACAGTAAGCACCCATATGTTGCACCAGGTTGTCACCAAACAACCTTGACAAGTGAGATCAGTCACTGCCTTTTGACAGGGTCGTTTAACACCATGATAGCCTTACCGTATTATCTGTGCCCTTACTTCAGAATAGTACTAGGGCTACGGACGTTTCTAGAATGGCCACCTTATGTGCTCATAGGGTTCTCACTATCAAGATTTGGTTCTACCATTCTAAGGAAATATATCAATACATATTGCAAGAATAATGATTTACGCGATATAGAATAAAATGCCTTTTATTGATTAATGAACATTATTACAAAGAGTCAATTCTACAATAATTGATTGGCTCTAGGGCATATACTCTAACAGAACCAATCAGGGTGCTGAGGAGATCCCCCAAGTACAGAAGGACACCTCTCCCCAGGTACCTTCGGTTCCGCCTCAAGTTCACAACTTGACCCCACCATCAGAAGCTACTTGGAGAGGTTCGACAATACTTTCCAAACGGTCAACCGAAGGTTAGACCGGTTGGACCGGGGCATGCCACCCGAATCAAATGAGGCAGTGCAACCGCCAAAAACACCTTCAAGTCACACGAAAGCACGGAAAAGGGCGATAGCCCGTGCCATGAGCACTGCAGCGTGCCAAAGGAAAGGTAAGCAAGTGGCAAAAAATGGGCCTAAGGGCTCCAAAGGGCCAGCGAACACCAACCACGTCCTGAGTAGAATACCCGTGGCGTTAAGACTCAGTGAAAGGTTACAGCCCGAGTCGTCCCATGCCACGTCGCATGCGCACCCCCATAAAAGTGTTGGGCAGGGCATTCTTATCACTGCCAGAAAAACGATCCTGATCGTCATCGTGCGGGAGGTTCCCACACTTCGCAGGGCGGTTCGTACCACCGCGGAGGTTGTGAAAATTCCCCACACCATTCATCACCATCACATGACTCTAGCCAGCGTGTGTCGAGAGTGGCCGGAACTGTCGGCCGAGGCGAAGAGGAATCCAACCTCCGGACTTTCCTCAATTGCAATCGCGAGGGTCGAACTCGCATGGGCGAAAGCAATCCACAAATAGCTTCGCTGCCTCAGATTGAAGAGCTACAACGAGCTCTAGATCAGCTGAAAGCTCAGCAAAACGAGCAAGGGCAGGTCACAGCAGCGTCTCCCTTTTCTCCGATAGTATTAGTCGCCCCTGTCCCATCAAGATTTAGAATGCCCGATATGCGAGCATTCGATGGAAATTCTAATCTGTAGGATCACTTGTATGAATTCAACGACATGATGGAACTTCATAAGGTTTCAGATTTGGCGAAGTGTCATTGTTTGGAAGTAACCCTAACCTCTTATGCCAAACAGTGGTTCAGGTCACTCCCAGTGGGATCGATTAGTTCGTGGCCTCAGATGATCACGACGTTCCTAAGACACTTCCAAGCAAACCAAAAGTTCTCAATGCCTTTAAGCTACCTCAGCAATATAAGGCAAGAAAGGGACGAATCCCTACAGTCTTACATCGACCAATTCCATAGAGAACTCAATAAAGTAGCTCACACTCCCGAAGAGTCTGTTCGGACTTTATCATAGCGGGAGTTCGCCCACAGACCGACCTGTGGAAAGAGTTACAGGCTAAGGATGATGTTTCCCTCACCCGCTTCTATAACCTTGCGAAGAAGTACCTCCATATTGAAAATTCTGTGACAGCGCTCTACCGCCGCGACCCCGACGCTTCAGGTAGTGCGCCTGGTCAGGGGGAAAGTAGGAGAGTTGATCGCAGATGGGCTACTGACGATCAACGAAAAGGAAAGAAACCGCGTTATGAGCCCAAAAAGTCTTATGCTCTAGTTCCTCATCGTGATCGTGACAAAAATTAGTATACGCCTTTGAATGCGTCTGTATCGGCCTTTCTTGATAAGTCAGAAGAAGCCAGCCTACTCGGAGAGCCTAAGCCCATGAAAAATCCTCCATCAGCCAGAAATAGTAAAAAATACTATCGCTTTCATCGGGATAATGGGCATCACACCGATGAGTGTCGAGCTCTCAAACAAGCAATCGAGGACCTCATTAAGCAGGGGCATTTCAAGGAATATATTGATGACTCTACTCCCGCACAAGAGAAAAATCAAGGGGAACCAAGAAAGAAGCGTCATGATCGCAAAGGTATATGCAGTGTCGGAATGATCTTTGGGGAACCGTACCTTGCGGGGAACTCGCGAGGTGCCCAGGAAAAATATGCTCACGCAGCCTATCACAATCCCATCAGTGTGATGAGCACGACGCGACGACCACAAAAGGTTCGCAGGGAGGAGGAAATTACCTTCTCTAAAAAGGATGCAGTTCGATTGCATCATCCCCACAATGACGCTCTTATGATCATGCCTCTGATAGGGCACCATAACGTCCATAGAATGTTGATGGATAACAGAAGCGCTGTGAACATCCTGTTTCAAACAGCTTTCGAAAGAATAAACTTGTACGAGGCCGACCTGAAGCTCGCCTCGATCCCCCTATATGGTTTTACAAGGGACCATCTGATCCCCAAAGGAATGATCTCGCTTCCAGTCACGTTGGGTGACTTTGACGAAGTGACCAAGGTAACTGAATTCTTGGCAGTGGATTGCTCATCCGCTTTTAATGGCATCTTGGGGTGACCTCTGCTGAGAAACTTTAAGGCAGTCACTTCGATATACCATCTGAAGATGAAGTTCCCCACCCCGACGGGGATAAGAGAAGTTAGCGGATCTCAGTGCGCATCTCGCGACTGTTATGTAAAAGCAGTACAGATGGCGTACAAAGGGAAAGGTATCTCCCACGGCATTCCTCGATAAGCAATGGCGATCAACTGGATCAAGCCGCAGCCTGGCCTGGCTGAGGATAATATGGATCCTCGTATTCATGAATGCCCTTCCAGTGGGCCAGTTGAGGATCTGTCTGAAGTATCGGTCGACTAGAGCGAGTCAAGCAG